ATGTGCGAAGCCAATATCGTTCAACTATTGCCTCTTGAACACACCCCTGACTAACCCCTCTCTTCGCCAGTGACCGGTTGACCCCCGGCTTGGCTTGGTTGCCCGTTCTAATCGATCGCCTCCGCTTTGATTGTGACTTGGAGACTCCCACGGATCCGGCGGCAAGGTGGGGTTGCAATGCTGCCACAGGCGGTATAGTGCTAGACAATGCACAATCACACAGTCGACCAGGAAAAAGATATCATGGCGTTCTAATGTGCCCAGGCATCGCCAGGTCGGGCCAATGACTCGGGTAGCATTGATTGCCTTAATTTGTCCGTCAATCATTGGATTTGGGTTCCCCGAGATTTACTACGCATATTGCAGCACAGTCTTTGACTATCTGTTCGGGTAGAATACAAATCGTCTGACCGTTGAACGCATATCATGAGTGAAACTGGATGAGAGTCCTTCGCTTTATGTGCTATTCTCTGATGTACTACCTATGTATGGCGCACTGCAGCTTGATTTTCCATCGTGAATGAAAGATCAGAACTTTCGGCGTCCTCGACGTTGCTAGGACGACAAATGTAAATAACATCCGTAGACTCGAATCGTCGCGCGCATTATACCCCGGAATTGAATTCTAAAATTTACATCTAGTATGCGGAATAAAACATGCATATAGAAGCGATGATGAGCAGGTTTACTATGGTATTTCCACTCGAATCCCACTATCAATCTGGACCCCACTCCCGTTACTACAAGGCCGCCGGGGGCTTTCTTACCGGGATCACTACATCTCGATAAGAAAGTCTATTTGGACCGTTGCAAAAGCGATAGGGAGAAGCTTTTATATATGCGTATGTCGTCAACCACCGCTGGAAACCTCTCTCAAATCAAAAACACTTTGGAATAGTAGCGGCTTGTCTGACGTTGACGTTTAACTCTGAGGTGGGCGGATCTGTCCAACATGGAGGCTCCTGAGTCTTCCTGGCAACATGCGATTTCAAAGCATCAACGGTAATATAAGCTGTCAAGGGGGCGCGCATCCTGAACAATCCTTGTCGATCAACCTCCATCAAACTTACTTGCGCGCGGCGCCACCCGTCGCATTAGGGGGGAGGCGCAACTTTGATGTGCTGTGTCACCATAGTGTCCAGTCACTCCAACATGCTGCCCTCTCGCTTCCATTGGGCTCTGATCAGCTGTAACATATGGGCTTTCAGAGGTGTAGGGGCCAAGTCTTGATGACTCCAGGTTTCGACCCCTGGGATTTTGGGTAGCGGAACTTGCCACTCAGCCTCGGCGCAAGAGTGAATTGTGTTAGGCCTCGCAAGGGCTCTAATAAGGATCGGCCCCGGTGTACGCGATCCGGATTTCGCTTGTCCGGTGCGAACAGCGATGCTGCTGGATGAAATCGTAGTTTAGGCCCTTCTGGAAGAAAATATACTTTGCGCCTCAGGAAATGCACCATGCTTACTTGCTTCGCTACAGATATCTTCTTATGTGAGGTATACTATAGGTTGACATTCTGTGAGGGAGAGCAATAACAACTTGGGCATTCTCATATTGGACAGAGTTTACGTGAATCATCATATTGCGGAAAGCCCTTTTCTGGAACGCAGCAGGTTATCCTAAGCCCTAGACGGCAGTCCGGAAGCATGTGGAAAAGTAGACATCCCAGGCCAAAACACTATCTGACCTCGATGGAAAGCTCCCCGCCGCGTGGTGTAGGGATTCGTGAAGTAGACATTTGTACGGTGAATATACTGTGTACCATAGCATGTCTGTATCACAGTATTGGACGAATTCTACCTGAACGAATGTTCATATCCGATATGCTCTCCTCCATATGCCCACTTCTTTTCATGTGTTTCGTTCTGAAAGCAGCCTATCGCCGTGCTGAGTCCACCAGTGCCCTCCGTTGACCCTTCGATTTATCAAGGGTGGCGAACCCCTGCGCGAAAACAGAATAAGAGGAATTGAGAACCCCCTCCCCCTTTGTACCAGGATGGGCCTTTCGTTAGGAGAATACATCATTTTTAGCTTCGTACGTCTACCTGCCCAGCACATAGTGGACTGTGTCCCATGAATCAATAAACCATAATCACGGCCGTGTTGGCAAAGATGCGCAAATAGAGAAATTTCTTTCTGATCTTCTGAGCTTGGCACAGAATGCATGCATATAACGTCCATTATTACTCAGGATGGTTGTCGTTGCCTTTGCTCGCCGGTGTTTGCATCCGAGCCCGGTCAGTGGCTATCCAATTGATTCTTCCTTATATTACTCGTCGAGTGTGGAGAGAGGGAGCAAGAGAGAAAAGAGGGCAACAGAGACGACATCGATACACACTCACCAACGGGAAGCTCCACGTCGCACAAGAAACCTTCCTTCCAACCCTTTCGGCCACACTTTTGCGAATTGCGTCCAACTGAACTCAGCGCTCCCGACTAGATAAACCATGTAAAGCTGGCAGCCGCTACGTCCAAGATGGAGAAAACGCCAACGGTTCGACATCACCAAAAGGGGGATATTCTTCCTTTCCCGACTCCGTCGTGGAAAAAGTCCGGAAACATGATGATCCTTGTTGCGTGTTGCGTTATTACAGCTGCTGTATGCCAGCCTTGGAAGAGGAACAACCCAGAATAATAATATCACACTGACAACCTGTTGAACAGACACAAGGCTATGATGGAGCGATGATGGCAGGTTTGAACATAATGCCGCAGTATAACGACTACTTCAAACTTACCACCACCACCCAATCCCTCAACATCGCCACAATTTATATGGGAGGCTGCATCGCCTGCGTCTGTTGGGGCTGGCTCACTGATCAATACGGACGTCGGGTGACTCTCTTCTACGCCGCCGTAATCACCATCATCGCCGCTGTCATCCAGGCCGCCGCCCAGAACGTCGGCATGTTTTGCCTCGCCAGAATCCTCATCGGTTTCGGAACCACAGCCTCGGCCATCACAGGCCCGGCCTACCTAGCAGAAACCTTACCCTGGAATCAACGAGCCTGGGGCCTGGCACTATTCGACGACCTCTTCTACGTCGGCGCCCTCACAGCCGCGGGGGTCACATACGGTACATCGCAAATGGAGGGCACCTGGGCATGGCGGTTGCCGAGTCTCCTGCAAGGCTTCTGGGGCCTCTCTTGTATCTCGATCCTGCCCTGGATGCCCGAGAGTCCACGATGGCTCATCGACATGGGCCGGCACGACGAGGCCCTCGCTGTTTTGGGCGCGCTAAACGCCGACGGCGACGTGACGAATGACCTGGTGCGGTTGCAATTCTGCGAGATTTGCGACACGATAGGGTACGAGAGAGATCCATTGCCGTGGAAGAAGATCTTCAAGAATCGAGGGTCCCGGAAGAGACTGATTATTACTTTGACGTGTGCATTCTTCAGCATGGTCATGGGGAACCAGCTCACGCAGTACCAAATCGGTAAAGTCCTCGACCATGCTGGTCTGACAAATCAGAACCAGCAGTGAGTATCCGCGTGGATCGATCGATGACCTTTTCAAACTACTCCTAGTTTCCACATCAACTTTCACAAAACCGCCATACCGTCACATTCTCGCCAGTTGCTAACTCCCTTTTTTCAATATAGAATGATGGTGAACATTGGCATCAACGGCCTCACTCTAATCATCTCCGTCATCGGCACCGTTTACACAGATAGGGCCGGCGCCAAAGCTGCTGCCCTAGTCTCGACGGCCGGTCTGACTATCTCCCTGTTCATCATTGGGGCGTTGACCCGAATGTACGGAATGACGGACTACATGCCTGGCATCTACGCGACCGTGGCGATGATTTTTGTGTTTTCCGCCAGCTTTGGCTTCGGCTGGATCCCGGTCCTGTTTCTTATCCCGGCCGAGATGCTCAACTTTTCTATTCGTGCTTGTGGCATGGGCCTGTTTTCTTTTGTCATCAACGTCACAGGGATTTGGGCCAACTTCGTTTTCCCTCTTGGTCTGAACCGCATCGGGTGGAAGTTATACATGGCTAATGGTGCATGGAATGTGGCAATCTTTGCTTTTATTTGGTATTACTGGGTCGAGGTGAAGGGGAAGACACTCGAAGAGATCGATGCGGTCTTTGATGGTGTCAAGCACTCCAGTGTTCCGGACGTAGGGGCAGTTATATCGGGAAAAGTCGATGGGGACTGGAAAGAAGTCGTTGCCCACTGGGTGAAGAAGAGATGTCCTCTTCAAGCAGAGGATGATGGCTCAGGCCGCACAGTGTGATGTTGGTCATATTGGGTACACTACTTCACCCGCTCTATATACTTTTACTGATGTAAGTAATTAAATACCATTGACACACCTTTCCCTATACAAAAGACTGCTGAGAGGTCAAGAACTGACACATCGTGACTTCACAAGTAGAAGATTAGGATGGCACCGCTCAAGGATTATTTGAATGTAATGCATGCCTAGTGGCTACTGCAGGAACCGGTCCTCCACACACTCCCGGCTCGAGAATCCCAATCTACGGTCACTCCACAATAAATAGTTAGAGAAGAGATCGATCTAAAAGATATCAACATTGTTTTGGAAGGTATCTCACGACATCGAAGCTTGCCCTGTATATGGGATATTGCCAACACGATATGGTTCTTGTGCCACAGGAGGGCCATTCTCTATTCAGCCGGTTTGCTATGTTACTTGGCGAGTCGAAACCAATATTCTTTAGTGCTTAATAGACAACATAGCGGAAATTTTGGAATTTTGATTCACGACATTGTTCTTCCCAGTGCTGTCGACTTTGTTCCTCGGGGCTCAACACGGGTTCCGGCGGCGTTTCATTCCTTTTGACAATGGCTGTGTCTTGCCTTGGAAGAAAATTCTCTTGAAATGGCGCCCCTGGTCGTCATCAGGAAACACTCTGGATTCAAATAAGCGTTGTGCACAATTGCGCTTTCATTATGTTCTAAATTCCCGTTGGGAAATTCACACAGACTATATAACACGTGAAATTTTGGACTTGTCGAATTGCAATTGGTTCCGCCCCCGTAGCGCAATCGGTAGCGCACCAGCCTTCTACCTCTTCTCCCTGATAGCTGGGGGTTGCGAGTTCGAGCCTCGCCGGGGGTTTCCGATCTTACTTTTGACCCTGATGTGAATAACGCGATTCTGATCATTGATTTTTTTTCTTCTGATTTTGCTTTCTCCTTTTTTTTTTTTTTTTGTCCTTAATTCCGAGGTTTTCCAAGCGATCGCCGGCCGGCGTGTTGCAAGATATAGTAACATAGAGGATAACTTTACCTGACTCAGTCAGGTCTTGAGCCTCAGCTACGCACAGTCCGGTCGAATCTCCCTGTATCCTAGAAGCTTTATTCCTGAAATTTGACAGTTGAAATAGTTGTGAACTTTGTGCAACTCCTTCCCTGAGTCAGGTGAAAGGTGATACTCCTGGTGTCTGATCAAACTCCGTCGACTGATGATTCTGTAGAGACCCAACCATCCTTCTCAGCAGTCAACTTCTTTGTCTGCCTATTTGTTCTCTGTGGGGTCAGGTCAAGACTTTCAAGCGGTTAAGCGGCTATCCGGAACGGCCAGGAGACTACGCACACAGGTGCCTAGTAGTATGTATGTATGTAGTACGTTAGACTGCCAACTAGGATCACAGACTGTTGTTCGATCTTGCTTTGTCCTTTCTCCCTGTGGACCTCTTCCAAATATAGGCTGCCAGCCCTATTAGGCTAAAATACCCCATAATGTGGGGGATCGCCGCCTGTCCCCGCACATCCGTCAGTGCGGCACAACGACGACGACGACGACGACTTCTTTGAGTCAAGAGATTTCAACGTTCCGAGTTCTTCTCATGGGCACAGCCGTACCTAGCTAGCCGGCTAGCTCGGTCACATCAATGCCGAAAAATTCAGCAATAAGCAAAAGAGAGATTACACACAACCCCTCATTTGTTCAGTAAAATGAACGAAAAAAGAGTAATGATGTCTGCAGTGGAAATTCTGCGCGGGGAAACCTTGAGCGTTTTCGTTTGTTGTTCTTTCCCCCCTGCTAGATTCCGGAATAGGTTACACTAATAGGACGGCAAAATGTGAACTGGACAGGACATATGAATGGAATAGGCCGGTTGCTGCGTGCCGATGACCCCATCTTATGAACATGGGGTGTAATGCACTTAGAGGAGTACCGATGAAATAAAATATAACCTCACCAACCTCCTTCATCCCCAGGTCAAAGAGACGTGACACGATGGCTACCACCACCGACCCTCGCCACCTGCAGTTGTGATGTTGCGTGGAATTTCCTATCTCCTGCCCTTCTTCCTAGGGCACGTCCTGGCCGAGGACGGCTTGGCTGCCTGGCTTCGATATGCTCCCATCTCGAATGCAGATACTTATGCCAACGGGATCCCCTCCACAGTCGTTGCACTCAACACCACCCAGTCAAGTCCAGTCTATACTGCTGGGCTGGAGCTGGAGCAGGGAATCAAGGACATCTTCAGCAAGAACGTCCAGCTCGCCAGCCAGCTGGTGAACAATGCTTCTTCTATCACAGTTGGTACCTTGAGCGGTTACCAACAGGCTGGGGGAAGTCTTTCCACGACACCAGACCTGACGACAGACGGGTACTGGCTCGATACCACAGACACCAGCAATGTGCTCATCCTTGGCCAGAACGAGCGTGGTGCCCTCTATGTAGGTGGTTTCTCTCAGTTTATTTTTCCTTCAAATACCAATATAAACTTCATTCACTCACTCACACAAAATCGCATAGGGTGCATTCCAATATCTCTCGCTCCTCGCCCAGGGGAATTTCACAGCAACAGCCTCCGCCCACAACCCCAGCCTGCCCATCCGCTGGATCAATTCCTGGGACAACCTCGACGGCAGCATCGAGCGCGGCTACGGCGGCGCCTCCATCTTCTTTGCCAACGGCGTCGTCAAGGACAACCTCACCCGCGCCGTCCAGTACGCCCGCCTAGCCGCCTCCGTCGGCATCAACGGCATCATCATCAACAACGTCAACGCCGACGCCAACCTCCTCAACGACACCAACATTGGCGGCATCCAGCGCATCGCCGACGCCCTCCGGCCCTACGGCCTCCAGACCGGCATCTCGCTCAACTTTGCCTCGCCCAACGCCACGCTCGGCACCTTTGACCCGCTCGACCCGGCCGTTATCGCCTGGTGGACCAACATCACGGACGTCATTTACCGCGCCGTCCCGGACTTTGCCGGCTACCTCGTCAAGGGCGATTCCGAGGGCCAGCCGGGCCCGGGAACGTATAACCGCACGCTGGCCGACGGTGCGAACCTCTTTGCGCGTCCCGTGGCCCCGTACGGCGGGACCATCATGTACCGCGCTTTTGTCTACAACGACATGCTCAACGAGTCGGACTGGTACGCGGATCGCGCCAAGGCCGCGGTGGACAACTTTGCCCCGCTGGACGGCGATTTTGACGACAACGTGGTCGTGCAAATCAAGTATGGCCCCATTGACTTCCAGGTTCGCGAGGCAACGAGTCCGCTGTTTGCCAACTTGCCAAACACCAACGTGGCCATCGAGCTCGAGGTCGCGCAGGAGTACCTGGGCCAGCAGTGCCACCTAGTCTATCTACCGCCCCTGTGGAAGACGCAGCTGGACTTTGATCTGCGGGTCGGGAACCAGTCGTCGCTCGTGCGCGACATCATTTCCGGCCAGCGCTTCAACCGCAGCCTCGGCGGCGCCGCCGCGGTCGTCAACGTCGGCATGAACAGCACCTGGCTCGGCAGCCACCTCGCCATGTCGAACCTGTACGCCTACGGCCGCCTCGCCTGGGACCCGGCCCAGGCGCCCGAGACGATCCTGCAAGACTGGATCCGGCCGACTTTTTCGGCCGACGCGTCCGTCCTTGAGACCATCACGGCCATGTCCATGCTCAGTTGGCCCGCGTACGAGAACTACACGGGCAATCTGGGGGTGCAAACGCTCACCAACATCCTCGGGAACCACTACGGCCCCAAACCGCAGTCGCAAGAATTCAACGGCTACGGCCAGTGGCTCCGCCCGGACGCCACCACCGTCGGCATGGACCGCACCGTCTTCAACGGCACGGGCAACGGCACGGGCTACGCAGGGCAGTACCCGGCGCAGGTCTTTGCCACCTACGAGGACATTGCCAGCACGCCCGACAACCTCCTCCTCTGGTTCCACCACGTCCCCTGGACCCACGTCCTCCACAGCGGCGAGACGGTCATTCAGCACTTTTACGACGCGCACCATGCCGGCGCCGAGACCGCGCACCGCCTCGTGGGCATGTGGGAGTCGCTGGCTGGGAAACCGGGCATCGACGCACAGCGGTACGCCGAGGTGCTTTTCCGGCAAACCTATCAGGCGGGCCACGCGCTCGTATGGCGGGACTCCATCACGGATTATTTCCACAACATGACGCAGATTCCCGACGCGAACCAGCGCGTGAACAATCACCCCTACCGCATCGAGGCAGAGGCCATGCGCCTGGACGGGTATGAGACGTTCGTGGCGAATCCGCTGCAAGCGGCGTCAGGATACATGGGCATCATGACGACATTCAACGACACGGCGGGTACGGCGACTGTTGCACTCGACAGTTGGGAAAGTGGGACATATGACCTCGCGGTCAACTACTTTGACATTTACGGTGGGCAGGCCAAGTGGCAAGTGTTCTTGGGGAATCGCTCTATCGGCGAATGGGTGGGAAATATGGAGGAGACGCTGGGCCATGCCACCACTTGGTACCCGGATGAGACCGCAGCGACACGGATCACGTTCCGTGGCGTGAGTGTGACCAATGGGGAAGAGTTGCGCATCGTAGGGACGCCCGACGGGATTGAAGCAGCGTTTCTGGATTATGTCAGTCTGCTGCCACTGGGCGTCTGGGACTAGTTGGTGTTAGTATAGGCACCATCCAGTATCAAAATCTAAATATTTCGAGTCAGTATATAGACCCAAAACTTCCCATACCTTGGTAGCCTCGGACACACGGGGAACAATTTGTGCGTAGATCAACATACCGCTCGTGTACCTTCGCCGGTGGTGATTTCCTTCCTACAGCAGAACTTTCTGCCTAGGTGAACATGAGGACGTCGAGAATGCAAATTTGCTGCTACGGGGTCTCAAGTGTGGGATTGACTCAAGAGGCTACGATACGAATGCTGCTCGTACCTTGAGTATCTGGGTAGGTTCAAGATCTGTCCGTCGTTCCTGTAGCTGGGATTCGAATATGAAGCCCGGGCCCGAGTCCGGAGCAGTGCGGTCTCGTGAGACTCGCGCCTCTCGGGAGCAGTGAGACATGCATCTACCACGGAAGAATTCCCGTCAATGACTCAAAGGTAAATTAATTGCCGTCACACTCGCCCTACCGGGGCTTAAAAGATCAGAATGATGGCTGCTCGTGCACGTTACGCGATCACGGTTACACGACAGGTCTCAAGAAGCACACTCAAGCGTGTCAGGGTGCCGTGGCATCAGGAATCATTCTGAGCCCAGCTAAGACAGTTCCATTGTGGGCGTTCTCCGCCACATACCCTATATAAAAAAAGCAAGAGTAGGAAACAAGCAATATCAAGCACTTTCTCCCCACCCGCGCTCTAACCGCAACATGCAATTTAAATCAATGTGACCACACCACTTTATGATCCGGACTCAATCCGCCCACCCAAGGGTCTTGCAAGGCCACTGTGGGGATGAACAACTCCGAGCAAACTCCTGGAGATGAAAATGAAAGGAAAATAAACTTGAAAACGCCGTCGATGCCCGATAAAATGCACAAGTAAAACAGCCCGCCGCAATAAAAGACGTGAAAACATCGACACAAAATAAGTGACGACCCAAAAGTCTATAGCGAAAAGACTTGTAGCAAGCCGAATCGCTGAGGTCGAGGTATATGACGCGAAATAGGCAAAAAATCTGATGATGCGTCTCAACGTGGGTGAGGAAGGCTTGCCAGTGTGAAGTCCGCAGGTATCCTTCTAGAAAAGCGTTCTGGAGCTGAACAGTGATGATGCAGCCGTATCCATCGTCACCAGCATTGGCGATGATGTGTATGACATTCTTGATACGCATGCGATTCATCGACTGCCCCTTCGGTTGGATACGTTCTTTCG